GTTTTTAGCCCCCCTCCAAGACACGATTTATACAACTCTCCCCATTTCCCCTTTACAATTACTCCTCAAGGATCTCCCGGGTTCCCATATCATTTTTTTAAGAAATCTGGCGTTCTCTTTGAGCCCCCCCCACGCTAAAAACCCACTTAAAGATCAGCATAGTCATTTTCCGGCCCCTCCATCCCTTCCTCTGGGGATGAGGAAGATCCCGGGGGCGGGGGGAAGCAGGGCCAGGGTGGCTTTCAGTTTGGGGGGGATTTTGGGGCTCGGGGGGGAGCCCCTGTGGCCCCTAAGCTGCGGGGTGGAAGGCTGCAGCCTCGGGGGTAGGGGCTTCTCGGAGCCAGGCCCCAGGGTCCCCCCCAGCCGGACCGACCCACCGAGGCTCTGGAAGGCGGCCGGGAAGGCGAGCACCTCCGCCGAGCCCTTTATCCCTCCCAGCGGCCTTCACCCTTTCACTGCCAGGCCGACAGCGGGCTGCTCTCGAAGGAGCAGCTGCCAGACAGCTGGCCAAACAATGGAGACCCCGCTTCCCCAGGCCCCCTCCCCTTGGGACCGAAGATGGGGGCGGCTGGGTGCATGGGAAGCTTTGGAGATTAGGGCGTGCAGGCTGTCCCCGGTGACTGGCTGCTCACCTCACCTTTTCCTGCAAAGGGGTGGGGTGTGTGTGGGTAGGTCGGACAACCTCCCCAGGCTCCGGGAGAGACTGCCCCGACGCCGCCCTGCTAACCTGTCACGCCAGTTGTTTCAACAATGGGTAGGGGAGGTGGTCAGGTTAGCTGGCCCCCACCCCCGCTGGGGGTTGCTGCTGGGGACCAAGCCGGGTGAGGAGTGGGGTCATGTTCCCGGCTGAGATAAGGCCTGCAGGGACACACCACACATTGGGGCTTTGTTGTGGGGGTGGGGTTTGGGGGTGTCACCCTGTGGCAAGGCACATGTGCCCTGCTGATTAGTTGCAAAGGCTGCAGCCGGAATGAGCTGGGGGTGGGGTGGGTTGGGGGAGGCATCAGGTTTTAGCGGTCCTCCTTCTGCCTGGCTTCGCATGTGTTTGACAGTGGCCTCATGGTTTGTGTTTGTGTAGGGAGACTTGGAATGATGCTTCCTGGGAGGAGCTCTCTCTCCTGCCTGGGCCTTCCTGCCCTCAGAGGGTCCCCCAAGCGTCTGGAGCTGGATTCTCACCCCATTCACCTTGCCCATAATGACTTGGGCTGGTTTTCGAGGTTTCGTTTTATCTTTTGAGTGCCTGGCCCGTCTGTGGCTGAGGAGGCCTTGTCAGTCCCCCTGAGTTGGAAGAGTATATGCATTGGGCCAGGCTGGAAGGGAGGGAACACATCCAGGCAGTTAAGAGTAGGATCACCTTAGCTTAGCAACACATTGACTCGAGAGGGTCAAGCTCCCTTTCTGTGTACTGATCAGGTCTGGAAGCCCTTTTTCTTTTGTGGGGGGGAGGGAGCAACTAGGTATCCTGTTGTTATGGCAACGGGCCCGGCCTTGCCTAACCGTTCTCCTCCCTTTTGGTTCAGGGGCTCCTTTCTATGCGGGGATACTGAAAGTTGCTCTCCTGAGGTCCCTGGCTTCCTGCCGGCCTCACTGGCTCTTTGTCAATGGCCTGCCACCTCCTCAGCTTCCCCTCTGATGAGGTCTTTCCAGGAAACATCCTCCCGTTTGCTGGACATGACTGGTTATATATAGCCCTGGGTGGAGGTGCGCGTGGCCATTTGGGGCTGGGGACATTGGAGTTGGGGCCTCAATTGCAGGAAGACAGTAGGGGAAGCTATTGTGTTGGGGGCTTAGGGGACTGAGAAGGGTTGCAGTGGGGGTGGGAGGGATAGCATGCTGGTGGTCACTTCCTTTGGGAGCTTTGAACTTTGAACAGTTGATGACCTGGTGCCTGGCAGCTCTGATCATCTGGTTTGTTTACTCTTTCCCAGTCTGGCTCAGGTGCCAGGGTGTGTGCCTGAGGGCTTCCTCCCATGCGCCAGCTCTCCTCAGCTGCCCTCACTCTGATAGCGCCTTTCCTGACTCCTGCCTGGTCCCTCAGCCTCACTGCCTGGCAGCCTGGCAGCCAGCCTGTTGCCTGGAGCTCCCTTCACTGGCCCAGCTTGAAACTGCTCCTTGAGGGGTGCATGTCTCTTCAGAAGTTGGGCCTGAAAACTCTGAGGTTCCCCCCCCCCCCCCCGCCCCCCAGAGGCAGGTACCTGAAGGCAGACAGGGTGGGGCAGAGCTGGAGCTGGTCTGAAAGGGAGAATCCACCCTCCTGGGTGGAGCAGGGAGTTGTTGGAACTAAGGAAGGCTTGATCCCAACTTGGTGTGTCACAGGTCTCCAGGGCAGCAGTGCTGTTCTTCCTCCTTCAAACCCAAGGTCTGCCCTCAGCCAGACCTCCCTCACCTGACGTGGACACCACAGGCTGGAACCAGAGCATCCATGTGAGCAGGGCCCTGTTGGTGGCCTTGGGTCCCGGTCCTTGTCCCCAGCCTCTCCCGGGTTTGGTGGGTAATGCTGAGGTAGTTGAAAGGTTTGAGGGGATCAGAGGCCCAGTCCACTTTGTACTGTGATTGACAGGTTCCCGCAGGACTTGGGTGGGGGCTTCATGGAACTCTGAAGTCCTGCTTTGGGTCAGGCTCCCGGGTGCTTTAAGATCAGCTCACTGCACCTCACCCCTCATCACCATTTTCTTTTCTTTCTTTTTTTACCCCCATCACCGTTTTCTGAGGTGGACTGAATTAGAGGGTGGGGTGGTGCAGTGGTAGGAGCTGGATTGGGAGGGTGGGGAGCAACCCTGGAAAGCCCCTCTCCTCTTGCTTTCCTGCCCTTTCTCTGGCGATAGGAATTGTTTGGCTAATAAATTACCCACATTCCTTTGACATTTCAAATAGCTGAGAGTCAGGCAGCAGTTTAAGTTGTGGACTGACGATTTTACAGGGCCCAGGGCCCTCTCTCTCTGCCAAGTACCTTTATCGTCACTTAGAAGGGATTGTTTTTTCATTATCCTCTGATATTCCGAGATATTGGATGAAGGGCTCAAGGTCACACGGCAAGGCGGAGGCAGGCCAGGATTAGAACCTGCAGTTTGTGGTTGAGCAGCATACCTCTCCAGCAATGGGCCGAGTCTGAACTCTCAAGCCCATAGTTGAAATAGCTGAGGCCCGGAGAGGGGACGGGACTTGCTCAAGGTCACACAGCAGGTGGGGTGGGGATGGTTGTGTTTACTGAGTTCAGCGCCCAGCAGGCTGCGGCAGGCTCCCCAAGAAACAGAGGAGTTTCACCTGCAAGAGCAGCCCCGGACCTGGCCGGGCTGCGGGCACCTCTCTGGCTCACGGGCCCTGCTGCCTGGCAGTGTTTGGGGGCTGTTGGTGCCCGGAGCGGCGGCCAACAGGGAAGGGAGCAGGGAGGGGAGCAGGGAGCCGGCAGGCGGGCAGGCAGGCAGGCGAGCAGGCGGGCGGGCCGGCCGGCCAGCTGATGTCATGTGAGAAGCGTGCAGGCGGATGAGGGAGCACACCTGGAGCCAGTGAGCTCCATGTGACCTGGCGGTGAGTCACGGGCTCTGCGGAGCTCAGCACCACCCGCCGGGAGCAGCTCGGCGCGGCCGCGGGCAGGGGCGTCATCCTGAGCCGCTCGGGCTGGGCCCGCCCCGGCCGGTTAGGTGCCCCGTGAGCCCCACCGGCCCCCTTCGCAGTCCTCAGCCCTCGGTGGGCCCGCGCTGAGATGCAGGCCTCGGGGCTGTAGGAAATGGCCACTCAGGGAGGTCAGAGGCCAAGCGAAAGAGGCCGGGTCTCTTGGGAAAGCATTTCCTTTGTGTTTATTTATGAGTGTGGTCTGGGGTGGGGAGGGGGGGACGGACCCTTTTAAGTATCCACCCACAGCAGCCCAGCCTGGGGGCCCTCGTCTCGGGATTCTAACGCTATAGTTTCCATTTCCTGGGGTTTCTGCTTTGCCAGCTGCAGGGTGACCCATTTAAATCTGTCCCCTCTTAGAGCCACAAGACAACAGGGCCATCTATTTTAGCCAAGTCCCCCAAGTCCCTGACATGTTTTCAAGGCACGAGAGGGCAATTCTTAAAGTTACCATCGCAACTCTTGTTTACAGCTTTCATGCTAAGTTGATTGCTTACTGCTTTGCCAAACCTTTCTTTTTTCTTTTTCGTTTTTTAAAAAAATCTTTACAGTCACGAAAGTAACGTGCTGAAAAAAGGTTTAATGCAGGAAGTGTGCTCGGTAGAGAGACAGTGTTATTTCTCTTTGCCGCTACTCCACAGAGAAAACCACTGGTGAATTATTGTCATGGATCTTTCCAGACTATTTCAAAAGCTTGTTATATGTATTTTATATATTATATATATTTATAGGTTAAGATCTTATATGTTATACAAATATAATTTTATAAAAACACTTAAAATATTTTTTCTGTAGGAAATAAAGAACATGCACAAAAGTAGAAGAAAAATTATATAAACTCCCACCAGCTAAAGTCTTAGATTTAAATACACACACACCTACCAGCTAAATTTTCTTATTGTAAAAAAATTAAAACAATACAGATAACACACAAGTCTGTTTTGACTCTTCTGAAATCCCTGTCTCTTCCACAGAGCATACATTTTTCTATGAATATGCAAATATTATACATAATGGAAATTATATATATATATATGCACACATATACATATTTTTTTTAAAAATTCGTAAAAATTATATACTATCTGACAACTTGCTTTTTTCACTTAATAATATACTATAAAATCTTTCTAGGTCAGCATATACAAATCGACCTCATTCTTTTTAATAACTGCTCAGTTCTATAATTTAGCTATTTCTCCAGTGATGGTCATTTATATTGACAGCATTTTGCTATGATAAACAATGCTGCAAAGGTTAGCCATGTTTATTGTGTGAATATATCTATAGATGTCTTATAAGAGGAATTGCTCAGTCAAAGACTATGTACATTTAAATATTTTCATAGGTACCAACTTGCCCTCCTTATACCAATTTATACTCCTACCAGTATGTATGAAATGCCTGCTTCCAACCTTC